GTCAAGTTTACTGATAAAAACACAAAGAGAGACTACAGATACACCCATCATGAAAGCTTTAAAAGAATTTGATGAAGAAAAAATATTTAAAAATTGGGGGACACAAACAGAGAAAGAAGACACCTCAAATAGCAAGTATTTCTTTGATATAGACAGATAGGTATAGATATTTTCCCTTCCCCCTCATTTATATTGCCTTCTTTAAAATTAAATTTCCCAGGTAATGAAATTAAAAGCATAATTTATTTTACTGTTGTTTCAGCCTCATTTCATAGATAATTGAATCCCCTAGTTAATAATTTATCACAGTCCTGGCACACGTGTACCTTTTATACAAAGCCAGTTGCATCTTACATTCTGATTATTAAAAAAGCTTACATGACATTCTTAAGGATATTTGAAAAATTTCTCTGTCAGTTTGTCTTACTTGTACACATCAGAAAGCTATGACAGACATTTGGTATTCATGAAGTGAGATGTAACATTTTCTGTTCTTCCTTATTGTGGTGACTGTAGATAAGACAAGAAATGTCTTTAATCCTGTGCTTTTTCACAAGTCCATGCCAACAGTACTTTTCTCTCCTCTTTCTACTGTGCTTGCTTGCTTAGGCCTGCTGGTCGTGCCATTGACATGTTTGGTGTTGTGTCTCCAAAGCAGTGTCTCCTAGTAAATAAATTAGTAACCTGCTTTCTAAAAATAAACTCTCTGGAAAAATCACCTTGAATGCCAATTGTAAACAGGAAGCCAGAATGAATTCATTATAAACTCCTACATTTTTCATAGTCAAGCGTTTTTTTAATCATTATAATGTTGTGCATTTTCAAATAGTCATTATAACCTAGATGGTGAGAAGAAATGCTTTGAGCAGAACCTAAACTATGTGGAGGACCTTGCCTGGTATAACTGTCTGTTAACAAAATGAAATAACTGAAGCTTAGGCTTGTTTTGATTTTTTTTTTTTTTTTTTAAACATTTGTCTGGTATAGAATTAGTGAATCCTCGACAAACTGAAACTTCAGTCAATGCAAGTCGTTCCCCAGAGAAAGGTGCCCAACAGAGACAAAAGAGACTTAATCCTGCCTCACAGAGATCATCATCTTTACCACCTTCAAATCGTAAATCAAGTGTTCCAAGTAAGCGTGAGATGTGTATATCTCTTGGGTTCAAAAGAATGACATCCAAGTTGTGCATACTGTTGACTGTTTCCTGTTTCCCCTGTACTCTCCTCAACACCTCTTAGAGTGCTCTGAGCACAAGATCCCTAAATAAGATCTTGTTCAATAAATAAAATTATCTGATTACACATACACTATGGATGACTAAAGAAATCTCAATTTATTTATTTATTTATTTATTTTAAGTTGGAGTCTCACTCGGTCGCCCAGACTGGAGTGCAGTGGCCGCTCCCGGCCACAGCAGCCTCGACCTGCTGGGCTCCAGCAATCCTTCTACCTCAGCCTTCCGAGTAGCCGGAATTACAGGCATGTGCTACCACGCCCAGCTGATTTTTTGATTTATTGTAGAGATGAGGTCTCGCTGCCCAGGCGGGTCTCGAACCCGCGGGCTCAGGCAATCCACTCACCTCAGCCTCCCAAAGGTGCGGGATTACAGGCTGAGCCACCGAGCCCAGCTAAGAAATCTCAGTTTAAAGTGAGTTTTTTATTGTGTCCAGTAAATTATTTGCAACTAATTTCATTTCAGAGTTATTGAGATAGTGGACAGCTATCTAGACATTAACTCAGACTAATTAATTCAAGCCAGTCTGAAAAGGAAAGATGTTTATGTACTTGACCTCATTTATTCAGCATTAATCACCTTTTTTCTTTAGCCAACTACAGGTGTGGTTTTAAAGTTTAAACACTGAATTAGTATCCTGAATTTCCATTTTTTTTATACCAGGTGAGGAGATTCTTACATTACTGTGTTATAGGAATGTTCTCTATTGCACTGGTGTTTCCATATTATTTACAGTCAACTTCTAAAATCCTGAAAAACCAGTTTTTGAGTCAGTGTGGAAACTACAGTCTGTACACTAAAATGTTAACAAGGTTACCTCTAGATGTTAGGATTATGAATTGTTTTATTTTCTTTTATACTCTTATCTCTTAAAGTTTTACAATGAAATTGTATGCCTTTCAAAATTGGAAAAAAATACTGAAAAAGAAACTATGTTCTGCCAATATAACATATATAAAAGGAAAAGAATATTTCCTCTTTATTTTCTTCTGTAGCAAAAAGAGAGATTATGTTAACACCAGTGACTGTGGCTTATAGTCCAAAGCGATCCCCTAAAGAAAACTTGTCCCCAGGATTTAGTCATCTGCTTAGCAAAAATGAAAGTAATCCAGTTCGGTAAGTTCTTTAAATTGTAGAATAAAGTGTATATTCATGATTTTTAAATGTTGATTTATGTCTCTATCACTAATTTTTCAGTTATTAATGGAAACTCTGGATTTAAGTCATTTAAATCATCTAAATGATTATCATGCTACGAGTAAGTTACTACACAATACACAAAAACAGTTTTTGACTGTGGAAACTTACTTCTACTGGATTTTATTTTCTTTATTTTTTGAGTTGGAGTCTCACTCTGTTGCCCAGGCTAGAGTGCAGTTGCACACTCATGGCCACCACATCCTTGACCAACTGGGCTCAGGCGATCCTTCCATCTCAGCCTTCCAAGTAGCTGGAACCACAGGTGCATGCCACCAAGCCCAGCTAATTTTTTTATTCTAAAAATATATCAATTTTATGATAAATCAAAAGTCTTGCCATGTTGCCCAGGCTGGTCTTGAACCCCTGGGCTCAGGTAATACTCCTGCCTTGGCCTCCCAAAGTGCTGGGATTACAGGCATGAGCCACCGTGCCTGGCCTTTACTAGATTTTAAATATCATCTCAGCATCCCATACTTGGATATAGTATGATAGTTATTTATTTTCTTGAGAAGGTTTATGATAGAGGAAAACTTTGGGGCCATTTGTGCAAGAAAGCAGGCTGTACTTACTGGTCTGGCCCTGGTACTGCATGCATGTCCACCTCTGCTTTGGGGAAAACTGCCTCCTGAAGTGTGGGCAGCTGTGCTGCTGTGTTGGGAAGGGCATTGCTTCCTGATTCTAGAACCAACTCTCTTAGGCTCCTGGGGAGATCACTTAAGCACGTTGAACCTCTGTGTCTTCTTCTATAAAACAGGGATAATAGTACCTGCCATGCTTATTTCATAATGTTATAAAGAACAAATGAGATAATGTATTGGTAAATGCTTTAAGTCTTTAGTGTGTAAAAACAGCTTTGTGTTAGAAAATAGAAATTAAATTTCAGTTTTTGAAAATTATATAACCAGCTTTCTTTTAAGAAAATATGTAAATATGTGAGTTAACTAGATGCCAGCTCATCTTTTTAGTCGAGATAGGGAAAATCAGTTAACATCTTTTTCTCACAAGTAACTTGCTTCATTCAATAGATTTGATATACTTTTGGATGATTTAGATACTGTTCCTGTGTCTACATTACAACGTACCCATCCAAGAAAACAACTCCAGTTTCTTCCTCTAGCTGATGACTCAGAAGGTATCTTTTCCTAAAAACATACTAGTTATTGTTTGAGTCTTTTACTTTTTTTGAGATTCTGCTATCTCTCAGTGTTCTAAGTATTATTTTATAATATCTTGTATATAAATATTTTTCTACTCAAGGGCCTCTAAAAATAAAGCACTCATGATACTTCAGGTTTGTCAGTGTTGTTATATCCTCACTGAAAAGTTGGGAAACTGAGGTGCAGGGCATGTTGATGTTTAATGATCAGGGCCATACTTTTCAACTGTTGTCTTTGCTTTTATATTCTATAATGTATATGCAACACAGACTTTGAGTAATTTTTTCTTTTTTCTCGTTTATATTCCAAGTTAGGAATAAAGTTATAAGATAGTATATGAAATCACTTGGGTAGGCCATCAAAATGTTAACTGCTTAGTGTTGATATTTGTCTACTAAATGTAGCGTGTTGTTTACTTTTTAAGCTTTTATTTTTTAAACTTTAAGTTTACTTAAACTTCATGTGTGTTTATATAAAGTTTGCTTAAGTTCCTTTAGGGAAGTTGTCAAACTGAGGGCAAAGCTTTTACAGTTTTGGGGGAAAAAAGCACTGAGTAAATATGACTGATTCTTTTATCTCTTTTCATTATTTTTTTTGGGCCATATAGGAACCATTTCCAGAAAACAAATTTGGGCAGGATATTTAATATGGATGTGATCTATTGGAAAACTTGATAAAAAATATAAGAAATGTCTTTCTTCTCTGACAGAAAAAAAATATTCTGAGAGGGCCATCGCCAACCATGTTAATCATAGCTCTTGCCCTGAACTGTTGCCAAATGGAGTGAAAAAAGTACCTGTGAGACCAGCCTGGGAGAAGAATAAATCAGTTAGTTATGAACAGTGTGAGCCTGTTTCAGTAACCCCACAGGGTAATGATTTTGAATATACAGCAAAAATTAGAACCCTAGCTGAAACGGAACGTTTTTTTGATGAACTTACAAAAGAAAAGGACCAGGTAAAAATAAAAATATTTTAAAAATTTTTTCTGAACTTAATGAGTATATGTAAGCAATAGTCAGAAGGGAATGATTGAGCCAAACCTGTCTCAGGATATTACAGTGAGGTGCCTTACCAGAGCTGTACTGGAAATAAGCCTCAGCCATGTGCTCGTTACTAATTGACAGAGGGAAATTATGTTGAGACAAAATGGACAAGAAAATACTAGGCTGAAGTCTTTTTTTCTTCATTCTGTGTAATAAACCTTCTTGGTAGTAACTGGAATTCTTCTATTTTCATTTAAACATGTTTTTGTGTTAACAGATTGAGGCAGCATTAAGCCGGATGCCTTCTCCTGGAGGACGAATCACTTTACAGACAAGACTAAATCAGGTGAAATATCTCAGCTTGAATATGCTTTAGAAGCTTGATGCTAGTCAGTGCTCCATTTATCTAAGAGGAGATTTTAAAATCAACAGTACAATGAAAATTAGGCATATTGAAGCAACAATCAAAACTTTTAGCCTTTACAGGAAGTGTTTAGTGATTATAGCAATTTTTTTTTTTTGAGACAGTCTCATTCTGTTGCCCGGAATAGAGTGCAGTGGCATGGTCCTGGATCACCACAGCCGTGACCTCCTAGTCTCAAGTGATCCTTCCACCTCAGCCTCCCAAGAAGCTGGGACCACTGGTGTGTGCCACCATGCCGCTAATTTTTTAATTTATATATATATATTTTTTGAGTCGGAGTCTCACTCTGTCGCCTAGGCTGGAGTGCACAATCATAGCCACTACAGCCTCGGCCTGCTGGACTCAAGCGATCCTTCCTCCTCAGTCTACCAAGTAGCTGGAACTACAGGCACATGCCACCATGCCCAGCTAAGTTTTAAATTTATTTTATTTATTTTTATTTTTTATTATTTATGTATTTATTTATTTATTGAGTTGGAGTCTCACTCTGTCGCCCAGACTGGAGTGCAGTGGCCGCTCCAGGCCACTGTAGTCTCGACCTAATGGGCTCTGGCAATCCTTCCGCCTCAGCCTTCCAAGTAGCCGGAATTATAGGCGTGCGCTACCACGCCTGGCTAATTTTTTTTTTGATTTATTGTAGAGATGAGCTCTTGCCAAGTTGCCCAGGTAGGTCTCGAACCTGCGGGCTCAGGCAGTCCACTCACCTCGGCCTCCCAAAGTGCTGGGATTACAGGCTGAGCCACCGAGCCCGGCTTAATTTTTTTATTTTTACTGTAGAGATGATGAGGCAGGGGGCCCTTCTGAAAATGCAGAAAAAAACAGAAAGAGGGAAAATAAGTTACTTCCTGCTTCTTTGTGCTTTCTTTCTGGGGCTTTTTACTGTGGCAGACTACATGTTTAAACGTTTGGCAGAAACCCCAACCAAAGTTTTTACCTGGAAGTTTTGAGAAGGTTATGTCACAATTTGCAGAAGAAACATCCCGTGTTGTGGCAAACAGGTGACTGGTTCTTTCACCATGACAACGTACCTCCCCACATCCTCACATCATATTCATCACTTTTTAACCAAAAAAATCCCTGCAAGACCCTTATGCTCCACCCTTCCTATTCACCTGATCTTGCCCCAGCAACTTTAGTTTCCCCACATGAAAAAAGTCCTTAGAGGGAAACATTTTGCCAATGTGGAAGAGGTAAAGCAAGAAATGGCAGAAGCATCAAGACTGATGAGTTCAAAAACTGTTTTGACCAGTGGAAAAAGCATCTCAATAGGTGTATTGCATCAGATGGAGAATACTTTGAAGATGATTGAAGTAGCCGGGCTCGGTGGCTCAGCCTGTAATCCCGCGCGCCTTAGAGGCTGAGGTGAGTGAATTGCCTGAGCCTGC